AAATAGATTATATTCTACTTGGGCTGCAATTCAGTTCCAGAAGGATTTTAATCTCTGCTGTCAATGGGAGCTGAGCTGACTCTTGACTCTCGAAATCACATTTGCCTTTTGCAAATTAACCTCTGTTAGAAAAGGAACAGAAATTCAGACGTTTGTGTCTGCTCTCCTATACACATATACAATATGGCAAAATGTTAGCAAACTCCATTTCCATTAGTTGCTATTAAATGTTGAGACAGTGTTATGAGACACAGGCTCATTACGTGATTAATGAGCAATAGTAACAACCAATTATTCATTATCTGAAGTGTTAAATGATGATCAATACCTATAATGGGTAGATGAAAAGGTTCACAGCATTTGAACCGTGGGAATCTTCTGATCCAGGAACCAGGGAAAATCTGTAGCTTTTAGCCTAATTACTTACTTCATTATGAATAACAGAAAAACCAGGTTCAAAATCTACCTAGGAACAGGAAAGTATTCAGGTTTGTAGGTACAATATGAGTTTAACTGCTTGGAGGGAAAAGTATTTGCTTATGGCATGAACACACATTCACACCTGTTGTTGGAACAGTTTCCAGTAATGGAACTAGTTTGTTACAATAAGTGTTAAGACTTGATTCCTTTTCCTGCTAATCCCATTTTCTGCTTTGTTTTAACTGACTGCAAGATCTCTGCAAAGTTTAGAGTCCTGTTGGGCTTTAAAGCTTGTGTCAGTTCTCAGCATTTTTATAACTGCAGCTCACATTTGTTGGCTGTTCCAAGAATCTGCAGTTGAGTCCAGGGGTGACCTTTTGCTGAAGTAGGGTCAATGGAAAGGTTTTGTTAAGGAAAAAGATAATGTATTAATAATTGGACTCCCAATTGAATGCATATTCAAATAAATATCTGTGTTCTATCATATGTGCTAAGGGATCTGTTTAGAACCGTAGTTATTAAGGTGGAGGCAACTTTTATCCATTCTGGACCAAAAATTCATTCAGTTGAAATTTTTATGGAGCCCTTGAAGGAGGTAAGGCTCAGTTTCATGTGAAGTATGGGCCTGCTGTGGCTCATAGCACAGCTTACAGGAGCCCAACTGACCCTCAAATCCTTGATTTGAAATCTAAGATGACTTCAAGTTGAGCCTTTAAATTATAGAGAAGAAGAAATTTTTTGAAGAGAGGGGGATACACCCCTGGTACAGTTCCTGGTCTAGCTCATCCTTTGAGCCCCTCTCTGGGACTGCAGGCTGTGGGAGAGACCCACTGCTCCTTCTGTTCTTACTCCTGCATTTGCATTGCTGAGTCCTGTCTAACAAAACTCAGACTCACAGATTCATTTAGGTTGGAAAAGACCTCTAAAATAATCCAGCCCCACCACTTAGTGCCATGGTTTAGTAACCACAGTAGGGTTGGACTTGATGATTTTTGAGGTCTCTTCCAACCTGGCTGATTCTGTGATTCTATGATTAACTCAGCATGGCCAAGTCCACCACTAAACCATGTCCCTAAGTGCCACATCTACATGTTTTTTAAATATCCCCAGAGATGGTGACTTCACCACTCCCCTAGGCAGCATGTTGCAGTGCTTGATCACCCTTTGTGTGAAGAAAGTTCTCCCAATATCCAATTTAAACCTCCCCTGGCACAACTTGAGGCCATTTCCTTTCATCCTGTCACTTCTTACCTGGGAGGAAAGACCAACCCCAGCCTGGCTACAACCTCCTTTCAGGTAGTTGTAGACAGCAGTAAGGTTTCCTCTGAATGTTCTTTTCTCCAGGCTAAACACTCCTGACTCCTTCAGCCACTCCTCATGTGACTTGTGCCCCAGACCCTTCCCCAGCTCTGTTGTCCTTCTCTGGACTCACTCAGCACTTCAATGTCTTTCTTGTAGTGTGGGGCCCAAAACTGAACACAGGACTTGAAGTGTAGCCTCACCTGTGCCGAGGACAGGGGAACAATCCCAGCCCTGGTCCTGCTGGCCACTCTGCTGATACAAGTCAGGATGTTATTGGCCTTCTTGGCCACCTGGGCACACTAACCTCTTTTTTTCCCTCACCAGGCATCTTTTCAGCCCCTCTGCCCCAAGCCTGCAGCGTTGGCTTGTGTTTGAGACCCAAGTGTAGGATCAACACTAGATCTTGTTGAACCTCATACCATTTGCCTCAGCCCATAGATCCAGCCTGTCCAGATCCCTCTGCAGAGCCTTCCTGCCTTCTAGTAGGTCAACACTCCTGCCCAGTTTGGTGTCATCTGTAAACTTTCTGCATCACCTTTCCAGTCAAAACCCTCCTTACCTCCTGTAGAGATTCCCAGTCTGTCCCTCTCATTCCTTGGTCTCCAAGGTCCTTTGGCCTCCTTCCATGTGCATTACCTGCTGTGCATGAGATGTGCTAGCCCTGCCAGCTATAGCATTCATCCTACCCAGTGTATCAAAACACAGAATTTTATCTATGCAGGATTATTAAATACGTTCCCTGGGGTGGCATGAACCCAACCCAACACACTGGTTTGGAGGATATTGAATTTATTTCCCATGATGGAAGAGGTCTTATATCTCACCTGGGGTTTTATGCTACCACTGTACCCCAGACTGATGAGGTCATTGCTTTAAGAAGAATCTCATTGAAAGAACAGTTGAAATAAAAGAAATGAAAATGTGTTTTTTAAGAGCAATAACATTTTAATTCAACCATTGAAATCTAATTTTCCCAGCATGGAGACCCTTATCCCATGACTTCTACTAAAGTCAGTTGGGGAGGTTCATTTGTAGAATACAAACCCCCAATCATATCTAAACATAAATCAGATGATTTAGTTTTCATGGAGGAGAAAAACTATGAAAGACCTTGCTTTGCTTTTTTTTATGGAGTAGGCAAACATGTGCTGAGAGTTGTCTGACATGCAATAATTGAAGTGCTACGTCACCACCGATGAGAAGAGTAGATCCTTTGCCAGGACATGTGACTGCAGCCCACCTGCTATTCCACAGCCTTGGTGTGGTTCCACTCATTTCCTTAATGTCCAAGTCAGAGAAATGGGACTTTGTGGAGGGATAAAAATCTAATAAGGAATAACTGAGCAGGTTCTGTATGGTGACAGCATAACCTTCCAGCCAAGAATATTAGGTATCCCTGTGGTTTATATGTAGTAGTTTGATACCCACCTCCACACCTCCTTTAAATAGCCTTAATTGGCCTTAAAATCAAAGTACCAAATTGATGAGCCTCTTGTGCAATGCCTGGCCTAGCTTATTTTGCAGCAAAAAAAAGCCAAAGAGTTCTCTGCATGTTCTCAAAGTACTGTACAACTGGTTAGTATCTTCAGCATCAGCCTCTGCTGATTAAAGGTCCTGTGCTGAGAAATTCCCTTCTCCCCACAGATGTCTTTTATAATATTCAGCACTCAGTGCTTTACACTATCAAAGCATTGTACACATGCTATCTAATATCTCCTAATTAACTCATACATCTCCTATTAAAAAAGCATCTAAAATCAAGGACATATGGTATCTCTGGCTCTTGGACAACACAGGCAAAAGCAGCTTTGGGGTTTTACAAGAAATCTGGGTAAGCTGAGATTCCTTTCTGAAATCTGACAAACACTTTGCCATATCTGACTTTGAACAGAGACAAAATGAACAGTGATGCAAATTGGACCTCTGAATGCACACACAAACACCAGCATGGGCAAAGGCTTTGGAGCCAATGGGTTTGGTCCCTTAATGAGGTGTACATCAATTGCATGGCTTTCCCACAGATCTTTGCTCTCCAAGATCTGCAGAATGCATGAGAAACAAGGAAAGTCTGTCATTTTGGTATCCATCAAAGCTCTCTTCCATGTGAGGAAGTGGCTAATTTGTCATTTCACACTCAAAATGCGTGAAAGGCAAAACACAGGGAGGTTAGATGGAAGAGAGGAGAGGGGTGCTGTGACTCATGAGAGGAGAGACTAGGCCTGATTTGGAGCTTGTGTTTGTTGCTGCATATCAGGAATAAAATCAAGGAAATCATATTGATGTAAAATAGACAAGAATTAGGCCAGTGGTTGTGGCTTTTTTCGCTTATGCGGAAAAATTTACATCATCAAACCAAGGAACAAGGACCACTTTACAAACGAAATTATGGTATTTAGGAAATTTCTAACTTACAAGTTTTATTTACACATGGACATCTCTTGTTTTATTTAATTATAATAAAAGTATTCGTTCCAACAACGCAAATGTTCAACTCTGTTTTATTTAATTATAATAAAAGTATTTGTTCCAACAATGCAAATGTTCAACTTAAAAATACATAAGACCTTTGAGAGAAAAATCCCAAAGAATACACACATCAGAGGAATGTCAGCTCCGTGTCAAGAGCACTGGTCTCAGCCACTAAAGATTCTCCCTCATCGTCTTTCATTTTAGCCTTGTTGTTGTCTTTAAATTTTCTTTTCCTCTGCAGAAAACAAAGCCAGCAAAGGGCCAGAGAAACAGTCAGAGTCAAACCTTTGGAGACATAAGAGAGGTGCAGGCAGGAATCCCATTATTTGCTAACAGGATTTGTGCACATACCTCCCATGGACCACTTAGGAAATTTACTCCCAAGCATCTCAGTGGCAATTTCAACTAGAGTCAACATTTCATTTCAGCAGATGGGACTGCAAACTGGTGGCTACTCTAACTCTCTTAAACTATGATGATGCTTTCTGTTTTTTATGGGGAGAATGAATACTGTTCCTAAGCCAATCCTTAATTTGATTTTTTGCCGTGCCTCTCTGTGCTAGCAAACCCCACCCGTGTGCCTGTATACAAGCCCAGTGGGTAAATTAGTGGGTATTTTTTTGCAGATCTGTCACACATTTCTACCATGCTTCTTATTCAGAAAGATGCCAGAGAACTGGAAATACATCTGCTCTCCCCCTGAAATGTAACCACCTCTGGAGTGGAATGTGGCAGCAAATATTAACATGGGAAAACGGAGACTCAATCCAATGTGAAAATTATGCAGGAAGGACAGAACACAGCTCACATAGCCTCAGGCTACCCAGAAATTAGCTAAAAGTGTACCTCTTTTTTTTTTCATGAATGCATTTGGAATTATTGCCCGGTGTGTGTGGTACTCCAACAAGGAACATCTCATTTGGTATTGAATCCCATCGTACAGTCTCACACCGACCAACAGTGATGGCAAGTTATCTGATTTCAATAAGAAGCAGTACTAACTCATAGGCAAGATGCACAAAACCAGAACACAGTATTATTTTTTTTTCCCTCCTCGTGGAAAATGTCCTTTCTTTAAATAGCATCTCCAAACTACGTCGATGGTGGCCTGGCTGGCTCATGGTGCCTCCGGTTTCGCTTCTTTTTCATCTCCTGCACATGCTTCCACTTGGCACCACCTTTGTTCCGCTGCCGCCGCTTCTCCCGGTGCCACATCTGTTCACAGTATTCATCCAGGCTAAAGCTGGGGCTGCTGACCAGCTGGATGTAGTCCTTGTACCTCAGCCGGGACTCGGTCAGCAGATCTCTCACCCTGCCCTCCTCGTCCTCAGTTTTCTGAGTGCTCTCCATTTGTCCGTTCTCAATGACGTTCAAACTCAGCTTGACGATGGTATGGATAAAGGTGTGTTCCTGGGCTTTGCAGAAATAAGTTCCTGCATCCTTTCTTTGCAAGCTGCGAATCAGCAGCCCGTGCTCTGTTTTGATGAGTCTGTCGTCAGCCTTCAGCTGTTGGAGGAAAACAACACACGAGGTGAGTCTCATCATCAAAAGCAGAGTGTGGCAAGAGAGAAGGCTCAGCTGGCACAGGGCATGCCTCACTGTGAGGAATTAAAGGATACCTTGCCTGGCCCAAACACTGTGGAGGCCACAAAAGGGATTCACCCTAAGCTAAGACACATTAGCCACCGCGGCAACAACTTGAGATAAGCTCAAAAGAGATGAGTTTGCACTAATTCCAGGACTGGAGGAAACAAGATCTGGTTAGCACATCCTGATTAACCTGTCTAGACAAAAATTCCCACTGTGGCAAACTGCATATAAATATCACTAAGCAAAGATCACCCTGAGTTATCAGACAGGAGGTATTGGTGACCACTGAACCCCCACCCTGAGGAAGCAGGAAAATGAAGGCAGAGCCATCCTTGATTCACATGGAAATTAGGAATACACCTCCATAGTTACCCAGAATTTGGACTGTATAAAGGTGGTAGGCCCAGATGAGCAAGCAACCTGGAACCCCCAACACCCAGAGCATGATTGAGGACACCTGTCACCAGAAGAATGACTCAGGACCTTCACCATGGGGAAGCCCAGGGTGAAGAAAGACCAACAGAACACTGCTGGATCCACGGGTGGTGACTATCTCTCCTTCTCCTTCTCTCCCTCCTTTTCTCTCTCTCTCACTCTCCCACTTTCTTTCCCTCCACTTGTTCCTATTCCTTTCTGTCTCTCTACCTCACATTTATAATTATCATCAAATAAACCCCATATTGTTATATTATTAGTGTATTACTGACTTTGGCATGTGGTCTCATTTGCACCTTAATTTAGGCAGAGGCAGCTCTCACTGGATCATAACACCCATCCCTACAGCATCAGCACCTGGTGGGACCTGTGCAACTGGGACTGGCACCAGGAGATCCTTTTAAAGTTTGAGTTCTGTTCCTAACTAGCATCTGGATCAGGGACATTCAACATGTAGTAGCAAAAGGCACATGCTGTGCAGCTGACAGGACAGACAGTAATACTTATCACTAGATATTAGGAAAAAGTTTTTCCCTGTTCTGGTGGTGAGACACTGTCCCAGGGTGCCCAGGGAGGCTGTGGCTGCCCCAACCCTGGCAGTGTTCACAGCCAGGTTGGATGAGCCTTGAGCAACCTGCTCTGGTGGGAGGTGTCCCTGCCCAGGGCAGGGCTTGGGGCTGGATCATCTCTAAGCTCCATTCCAACCCCTAAAAATTCGATGATTCTGCAATCACACCACAGTGCAGTAAGTGAGGCTCATTCTCCAAGGAAGGGCAGTTATTTACTGCCACAAATTCCATTCATTTTTAAACTGCTCTTCTTGAGGTGTCTGTAATACACCCAAAACACCAGAGCTCTTGTATATATCTGGAGTGCTGAGGGCTTGTGACACTGAACACAAATACTACTACTGAGTTTTAAAGTGAAATACTGTGATACTGATCTGCTTCAACCAGTTTTACAAAAGGAAGTTGTTCCTGGCTTTGACTCCCTGAGATGGGATTAAAAGCATGAAATGAGGTTAGACGGATACAACCCAGTACAGTTCTTTCATTGTTAAGATTTGTGAGGAATAACTTGGAGAAGAGTTTAAAAAAAAAAGGCAAGAAGAATGAGATTGCAAGTGCAAGCTGAAGTCTGTCAGCATGGAGCTGCAATTTCATTTATGAATGGAAATATTTCAAAAAATACAAGATCTCACATGTTAAAAATAAGGTGCAGCTTAGACTAATAACACTGTCAGGTGAATTACATATCTGGTGATCTGAAAATTATTTCTGAAATAACCAAAGTTAAAAAATACTATCCCCCCCAGAAAAAAAATAAATCCCAAACAAACCAGGATGGGGCACTGGGCACCTAAGTATTTTTACAGCTGGGAAATATAGAAGGTAAGTGATTTGCCAAATAGCATACAAAGATTAGTAGCAGAGGTGGAAGTAGAAAGCAGAGCCCTAACTCCCAGTGTCCACCAGCAGCATTTCCTTTGAAACTGATGCCAGTGTAGCCCAAAGCTGTCCCTTCCCAGGAGTGCTGTGTTCTGCTGCCACGCAGAGGCTGCAGCACACACAGACCTGGAGCATCAGGAACATGGAGAGAAACTTCAGCTCAAGGCTGAGTTTAAGGAGGAGGATGTGGGGGCAGAGAGAACCAACACAGAAGCTGGAAAATTTCCCAGAGTGCACATCTGACCCTCCAGCAAACTTCAGAGGATGAAGATCAGGGAGGCATAAAGATGACTAAATTAGATTTATTCACAGTGGGTAAACTACACACTGTTTCTTTATGTAAAAAATCTGCACATGATTCCCTCTGCTACTCCATGGGAAAAAAATTTATACATACATATGATTCTCCATCTGTTATGATTCTAACTCACTAGTACTTTATCATAGTAGAGTCTCTTGGAGGAAAGAGATGGATGAGATGACCTTTCAGGGCTTTTTAGCTTTACCCTTTTCTAAGTTTCTATGGCAATGACCTTGGAACAGTTAAAAACCTTGAGAGACCATATTGAAATCACCAGAAACAGCAACATATATATAATACATACACACACAGAGAGAGAGAGAGAGACTTTTGCTTCCTACTGTTTCAGCTGTAAAAGTCTTCAGTAACATATAGATTAGACATGTAGGTAGGTAGGTAATTTTGAAGGTAGGAAAGTAGATGGATAGATAGATATGTGGGTGGATGGATGGATGGATGGATGGATGGATGGATGGATGGATGGATATAAGCTTATGTACAGGACAGACATGACTGCAGCAGAGACAAGAAATTCCCTGCTACAAAAGCCTGGTCAGACTGTGGCTCTGGCTACCTGATTCTGTATTTTTTTGTCTCCAGCTGATGGTGTTGGGTCAACTCAGAGCTTTAGTTTCATTGTTTGTAAATTGTATATGCCTACTTGGCACCCAGAGGGTGAAAATCCTCCTAATTTCAGGAAATTCCTGGAAAAATCGATTGTCCTGACAACAGGTGCTACATGAGCACAAGCTACTTGTGATTTACCACACTGAGCTGAAACCAGAGAAATCACAGCCAAGCCACAACACATGCACAGGAGGAGACAGCAGGGAGAGACTAGACCAGGCCACTCTTCCACCTGCAGAACACACAGCACAAGGCAGTAGTCCTCAGTTTGATCAACTAAAGATGCTTCATGACACCTAAATGTACCTTTCTTACAGTAAAAACAGGAGCATAGAATGTAGAAATGAATCCACAAACAAGGAACTGTGGGCAGAAATGTCTAGGGCAGGTGTTTCCTTGTGGTGCTGAGCTGCACAGAGAGAAACAGGAGCAGGAACCAGGTGGAATTGCTTGGAGCAGCACGACAAGGAAACCCTTCTTTCTTCTGCCCAGGCTTCATGACAACATGAAGATCCAAGCCTGAGAAATTTAAGGAAAGGCATGGGAAGAAGCAGCATAACTTCCAGACATTTGGGTTTCATAAGGAGCTGTGCAAAGCCCAAGTTCCCACATTGTCTGAGTGGAAACAGTGCTGATCTCTCAGAGCCTGGGGCTTGATGCAATCACTGCAGTAGCATCTGCCTGTCCCTGGCTCTGCCAGTATTGTAGTCTAGAGCTTCTTGACAGCTGTGTACCTCCTCCACTTGGGACAGCTCCAGCTGGCTGCTCTGCCTGGCTGGGGGCCAGCCCAAAGTGCCCTCGCCAGGGTTTTGCCTATTTTCAGTGAAAGAAAAGCAGAATAATGGCAGATCTGGACTTGAAAAGATCACAGGGCCCCCAAGTCCAGCACCCTGCACCTCAGATCGATTTACCATTTGTGGAGCAGCCCTCACCTTCTAGCTGGAAACTGCTGGAGCTGCCTCACCATCTGCCTTGGGATGCCACAGAGAAAGTTAACAGCCTAAACTGGTTGTGTCCCTTAGTCCCAGCCCATCCTGCCTCCTATTTTTAATGAAGCAGCATCTTACACACTGTCCTGTGCTAACCTTGTCTGATTCAGGGCAACTGGCACCTCTTCCTCTGTGCCTTCACTGCTCATCCCTTTCTTCTCCTGTGGCAGGATGAAATTAGGGCTCTGATTTCACATGCATTCAGCAACCTTTCATTACTGCTTTCCCCCCTCACCTCTCTTTTTTTGGTATCCTGTTTATGTTGTTTTACCCATAGGTTCAGAACTCCTCCTGTCTTTCCTCTCTCCTTTACTCCCCACAGGACTCTGGAGTTTCATAAACACCTGGCATTTCATTACTTGGTAGATCTTTAACCTTTCACTTGAATGCTTAATGTGCTCTTTGGTTCCTGACCTGTAGATGTCAAACATATTTTATGAAATTTTGAGGAGAGTAAAAAGCCTAGTCAGATAAAAGAGATAATTTTGGTTTAGCCAACTGTGGATTCACAGTTTCAACCCCTCAAGTCATAATCAGTAACTCTCCTAAAAATATTTGTAAATAGGATTTAGCAATTCAGAAGCACAAAGGCCTTAACTAATAAAAGCTTGCTGACATGTGCTTAAATTTGAGAATATACTAACACTTAAAACATGACACACATAGTTTTGTTCCATAGGAAACAAATTACAAACCACAAAAAATGAAGCCATTGATTGCCATAAGCTTTCCCTTCTTAGTGAAGTGGGAGCAGATTTTTGACAATATTGGATCAACAAGTTGCACTTTTTATCCCTCATGCTACACACTCAAGTTTGCAAAAAAACCTGAATTATGGCACATGCCACAGATACTGATAATATCTGACAGAGGGAAAAGATGCCCATGCAAACCTAACACTTGATTTTCACAACCTGAATTGGAATGAAGGGAAAAAAAAAAAGGCATTGCCAATAACGATGGCTAATCTTTGAACAATCAGTAAGTTGGAAAACAACCAAGGATTTGAAAGTGCTGCAGCACCAGGTTAGGTCGCTAAGGATGTGTTTAGATAGCTCCCTCTTTACAAACAGTTCACATGTCAGCTCTTTCACAGATAAAGCACTGCACCTGCCT